ATTTGAACTTCTCATAGGGCTTCGCATTCGACTATTGACTCCTTAAATAAGGTTACAGAGTATTTTTTGCCTCCAGTTGGTCTTGAACCATTGACCTTGTCCGTGAAGGGTTGGCAGCTTAACCACTAAGCTACGGGTACCAGAACCTAGATATCCCAGATATTTTTAATACTATATATATTGTAATTAAGCATTATACTATTAGAAGTACTTCATGAGAAATTTGCCTTGTGTTTAGCTACTGTTAGATTGCTAGAAAGTATTTGGTCATATGTTTTTTAAGATAAAACTAAGTTGTAGATACAGTATTCAAGAGTTGGAATAATAACTGTATTAATGATATAGGCTATCTGTTTGTTAGTTATGTATTTGTTTTTAAGAGTATTAACTAAGTTGTTAGATTTATCTATAATAAGGTCTGTCTGTTATTTTTAGCTATAACTTAATGTGAACTAGCAGCTTAAAAATTTAAATAGTGTATGTTTTGAGTAAGATATAATTGTTTGGTTAATGAAGTTAATAGATGTAGTATCAGATGAGTTTGTTGTTAATATAGATTTGTGAGGGTTAACTTTTATATTTGTTATTTAAAAAAAAAAAGATATTATATTTGTAATTTGCTTGAGTTTATTTTTGGTAGAAATGATCCAAATTGTGTTATCCATATAAACAAGTATAAAGGTAGATATTTGAGTATATTTAGTTTTTTTAAATTTGAGATTTTGTAGTCAGAAGGTTGTTATGATATAACTTTGTATACTTAGGCTATTTGGTATATAAGAAGATCATAATAAATTCTTTATAATAGTAAGGTTATAGTTTCTCTCTGATCAATACTATTTTTAAATAGGTAAAATTCAATTAGACCAAAGTTAGTTATTACTCTGTTAGATCTGTTTGAGAGTAGGTTCATAAGTATATTAGTTAGTTAGCTAGAAAATTAAATTCATTATAAAGCTTTTTTAAGTAGATTAGTGTTGATAAAGTCATATACTTTACTTGTATCTTGTAATAGTAACCAAAGTTCTTTTGAGTTATAGTAAGAATCTTTAATAATATTATTCAAAGTATGAATTGGTATAGATATACTATTGTCAAGTAGTACTATATAGTTAAATAGAGAAAGAATTTGTTTAGAAGTTAGTACTAAATTTAGTTAATTTGTTAGAATTTTTGTATATAGTTTTTTAATATATTCAATAAGGCTAATAGGGTGAGTATTATTAAGGTTTTTATCAAAGGTTAGTTTTTTTAAGATAGAAAAGATAATATCCTATTTCTATTGTTTTAGAATTTGTTGTAATTTAAGGCATCTGTTTAGTAGAGTTATAATAGCCTGAAGGAAATTATTTTCTGCATGTTTTAGCATTTCATAGCTTATGTCTGATGGATCACAGGCTTTGTTGTTTAGTAGTTGTTATAAAGTAGATGAGATTTCTTCTAGTGTAATTGTTTTGAGTATTTTACTATAGTGTTGAAAATTAATAGATAATTTAGAGAATTTTAAGTTTTTTATTTGAAATTAAATAAAAGTCTACAAAGTTATAAAAAGGTATTTAAATAAATGCTAATTAAATTTAATAACAAATGTTTTAAAAGACTTAGAAAATAAAAAGTTTTTACTAAATTTACTTTAATGAATGTCTTATGAATTTAAATTAAATGTGTTTTTTTTTTATGCTGTTTGATTAGCTGATTTCGATGAATTCACGAAGGTAATTCTTAAATGCAATGGTTGAATTGTTTGAATTATTTGAATTATTCATCAATATATCATGCAATGTTTGATTCCACTCCTCTATTATATGCCTATCTCTATTTATTTTAGCAGTAAGTTTAGAAAACGTATTCTGATAATGTTCATTTGCACTATTTATGACTTCAATTATCATCGGTAATTCAAAAGTAATTTGTAAATTAAATAATGCTGGTAGATAATGCTTAAACAATGGTGCTAGAATATCCATACTTGCACATTGAGAGACTATGCCTAAATGCGACGGTTTGTAGAAATTTTTGGCGTTACAATAAATTTTAAAGATATTACAAGTTGCTTGAAACACATGTTTATTCATTCCAATAGGGATTTCCATGTTTGGATATTGTTGTAGCTGTAGGTCTATATAAACACGTGCAGATAAAATGTCATCAAAACAGCGTTCTGTAATTTGAGAGTCTACTCCAAAATTTATAAGAGCCCATTCATAAAATTTTATTGGTAATGAAAGATGTTTATTAGGAATGATTGTGTAATTATTTAAATAGTGATCAAGTGCTTTCATAAATAAATTTTCAGAAATATCCTTTGTGAATGCATAGAGAAAATCCCAAACATAAAATTTAGTTAAATTACGTCCAATTTTTAAAGATTCAATAAGGCAATGATACGCGAAACTTTCTCGTGATTCTTTGTTGATTTGCATAAAGGATTCCACCAGTATTTCACCAATATCATCTAATTTACGTTCGAACAGGTAAAGAATGTCGCCAATAACACTATAATTTAATTCAAAACCAAGATCAATTAGTTCCACAAGTCGATCATTGACGGCTTTAGTATCTGGTTGAATCCAATCTGCAGAAGCGATCGGTGGAAAAAGTATAAGAATGGAACCTTGTATAACTAGATTATTTACGTCCTTACAGATTTCATGATAACCAATCTTTTTCCACATATTAACTAAATCTTTGTGGATCAGGATTGCTCGTGCAATAACATTAAGTTGACGATTATTTTCATAGCCATCTTTAGAAGGATATTCTTCGGGTAAACAAAATTTTCCAGAAGGCCTTGGCGGAAATGGGAAAAATTTGTTATTCAAAATCAAATCTTTGATAGCATCAATATTTTTTTTTAGAATTTTTGGAGCATCACTTATTATGTGCGGGCCAGCAGTGAGAAAATGAAAAAGTTCCATATCATTACTTTTAATATAAATATCATGAGAGTTTAATTGATTTGAAATCTCAGTTAAAAAATAAGTAAAGACTGATATTGGTAAATTGCTCGCCCAAGGAACTTCTTTAATTGACTTGATCCGCTCAGCGTCGATTTGCCCAATGTTATGAGCAATTTTGAATTCAATTAATTTTGGATCACATGTACCATAGTTCATAAGGAGCTTTTGAATCAAGTATCTTGAAAGAATTCCGCGTCTTGCAATAATAGCTTGAGCAACAGAAAGATTAATAAATGATGGTCCTAACTTAATGGCATAGAAAATAGCATGAGCCCGACCATAATTAAATATAATCCATTCTGATCTAGCTTGGCTATCTCTAGCAATGACGGACCAAATTTTGCAGCATAATGCTAAATTTCTTGGATGGGTAACATATTTAAAAATATGAATCTTGATTTCATCAGGGAGATTTTCAAAATGTCTCATAAGTTAAAGTCACGAGACTAAATCTTCCCGATAAAAAAGTTTGGATTAGATTTAATTAAGGATACCGGATTTTAGATCAGGGCACAAAATTTCCGAATGCCGGAAGCTGCTTTTTCTCCGGCGGTGTTTATTTTAACCGGAACTTAGAAAACTCAGCCGGATGTAGCAGTTTTTTAATAATGATATTGTAATATTTATTAATATTTATATAGATACGTATATATTATATCATATTCAGCAATTTTCCGACTGATGAAAAGTCAAAGCGGAAATTGTCACGTGTAAACGGAAATTTCCGAAATTTTACAATAGGATTTGTGCCCTGTTTTAGATATAAGAAAGCAATTTCATAGGCAAAATTTGAATTTCGACAGATTTTTGGTTTATGAAATGTCTAAAGACTCGTTTTTATACAAATTATCAAATATTACTACGTACGCAGTCATAATCAGTTATATTGTCAAAACTAAAGAAATGGAAAAAGAAAATTATTAAAAAATACTGAACTGCCCTGTATACTCTTATACCAATTTAAGTAATGAAATAATACTGATACGTAATGATCATCGCTATTGCAAACTCCTAAATAAAGTTAGCAGGGCATTTATTTAAAAGAATTACTATTAATGGGCATATTTTATTCAATTAAATGAAATATACAAATTTGGATGTAACGGTAATATGGCGCATATACGTATTATACATACAGTAGTAAATGGAAAAAAGATATATCCGATACGTAAATTCAAATTAGGCTAAATTCTATAACAATCTGATTATCAAGACCTATAATAGTCGGATAAATGATTTGATGGCGCTTTGGACGTGAGCACAGCCTCAGTGTTACAATATACTGTACTTGAATCTCACTATACTCAAAAAAAAGCTGAGAAATTACTTCAAAGTCCTATGTTTAAATTTTGAAGCCTTATATTCTTTCGCTCAAAATTATGTTAAAAATCTGAAACTACCATTTGGATGTGAACTATTAATAATTTAATCATATATACTTATCAAAGATCCAATAGAAATGGTATAAGCTATAATAGTTTATATCGCATCTCTAATATCAATTTTTCGATTATGATATTAATCTTTGCAAAATAATATACGCTATTTAATAATTGTATATTGATTATTCTTTGCTCTACTTAATATTTGTTCTAACAAACAAATATTCTAAGAAAATTTTTTTTATTTCGTCGGTTTGAATTTATTCTTGCTCGTTCAACGCACTTAAT